GCTCCTAGCAAGAGTGTCAGCCTGTTCTTTGAAGCCAGGCATTGACTTCACCTCTCTAGTTATGAAAGTTCTAGAATGGTAACCTTTTCCAATAGAAGGCTGTTTCATTTACATTGAAAATCTATTGTTTAACGTAGCGACTTTCATCAATGATCTTAGCTAGATCTTCTGGATAACTTGCTATAGCTTCTCCATCAGAACTTGCTGCTTCACCTTGCACTTTTATGTTGTAGAGACGACTTCTCTCCTTAAACCTCATGAGGCAATCTCTGCTAGCTTCAAGGTTTTCTTCTGCAGCTTCCTCACTTTTCTCCGCTTTTATAGAATTGAAAAGTTTGGGCCTTGCTCTGGATGAGGCTTTGGCTTAAGGGAATTTGTGGCTGATTTGATCTCCTATCCAGACCACTGAAACTTTTTGTATATCAGCAATAAAGCTGTCTTGCTTTCTTATCATTTGTGTGTTCACTAATGTCGTACTTTTAATTTCCTTCAAAAATTCTTCCTTTGCATTTGCAACTTGGCTACTTGTTTGGCAAAAGTGGTCTAGCTTTCAGCCGATCTCAGCTTTCAACATGTCTTCCTCACATAGCTCAATCGTTTCTAGCCTTCATTTGCAGTGAGACACGTGCAACTCTCACTTTCACGTGAACACTGAGAGGACACTGTAGGGTTATTAATTGGCTTGATTTCAATATTGTTTTGTCTTAGGGACGCCCGAGGAGAAGGAGAGAAACAGGAGAATGGCTGGTCAGTGGAGCAGTCAGAAAACACAAAACATTTATCGATCACACTCACTGTCTTCTATGGCTGACGTCTGTGGTACCCCAAAACAATTACAATAGTAGCATCAATGATCTCTGATCATAGAACACCATAACAGATATAATAATAACGAAAAAGTCTGAAATATTGTGAGAATTATCAAAACGTGATGCAAAGACAGGAAGTGAGCACATGCTGTTGGAAAAATGGCATCAACAGGCTTTCCAAAGGCAGGGTTGTCATGAACCCTCAATTTTTTTAAAAAAGGGGGGGAAGTAGTATCTAAAAGGTGCAATAAAATGAGGTTACCTGCGTTTGTGTATCTAAGCAGACCTAAACTCAGAAAAAGCACAGTAACAATATTGCACTATGATCTTATTGGACCACCATGCAGTCTGTCGTCGACCAAAAACACGGTTGTGTGGTACACAACTGTCTATTCTTCCTTTATAAAATACTGACTGTGTAGGATACAGCCACCTAGTCAATGTCTGTGAAGATCAGCATATAGTATATAATAATAGTTATTCATAAAACATACATTGATATATACATTTTCATGCCTTATGGATACATAATTCTAAAATTTTAACTATTATTCCCTATTTTGTAGTAAATATTACTAAAGAGCCTCTATTTTGTAAAAAGCGAGCCTGCGGCATGAGTGTATCCACTGTCTTGCATTCAGTGATGGCTGGGTGGCTGGTAAGGGACGCAGAGGACAATCAGTGGATTATCAGCTTCATTCCCTACATCAGTGATTGCTGACTGTGGTTTGATGCTAACCATGGACACTTCAGGCAGTCAATCACATCACGAGAAAGAGCCCAAGCTCAGGAGCTGTGGTTGCTGGGATGAGCCACTCTGCAAATGTGTGGTCAGTTACTAGCTGATTCCACACCTCGTTGACAATTAGCTTCTCCTTAGAGCACCTGGTCACAGTGCTTCGTCCTTCAGAGGATTTGCTCACTTAAGCAGAGCAGTAGAGGACAACAGAACCCCAACTGACCAAAACACTTCAGGACTTCTGCTTAAGGATTGGTTCACTATGGACGTTTTGACTTTACCATTTGTAGGAAATTTTTCTAAAACACTACCTTGCTACGTTGGGAGAAACCCAAAATAAACACCTGAAAACTTTTTAAACTTTGAGGATCTAACCGGCTAAAGCTGGGACCAGCAAATGTTTTCTTAAAGGCCAAGACAGTAACTATTTTAGGCTCTGCAGGGTACAGGACTCTGCAGTGAGAAAGCAGCCACAGACGGTATGTAAAGAAATGCATCTGGCTGTGTTCCAATAAAACTTTATTTACAAGCATGGGCTGGTGAGCTGGATTTGGCCCTTGAGTGATAGTTTGTCAATCTCTGGTATAGCCTATCTTTACATTAAAAAAATACTTATTCCATACTTTTTAAAGTCAGAAATTCCCATGGAATGTTATTCAGGCAATCAAAAGGGATCCTGTCAATTATTTTTTGTTAGAGAAAAAGTATATGTCCCCCAAAAAACTGCATCAACTTTGGCTCTACTAACTGGACATCTGTGATCTTATACCTAGGACTAGACTGAGGTGTCCTACTGCACCATCTCGAAAAAAAAGTGTCACTTCCCTCTCATAACAGGGCATAAGAGGATTGATGTAATAAATGCTTAACCAATGTATGAAAATAAACTCACTTAAAGTATCATAGCAAATTGTAGGTATACAAACTAAGACTAACTAAAAATAAGTTAATCTGCTTATTACTGTATATCAGACTAAATCTTTACTTTAGAATACTTATTAGCTTTAATTACTATATGCATGATATTAATGAAATATTTATTAAAACTATCTCATAAATTTCTACTGTTCTCTAACTCAGAGCACCTAGCTGTCAAGTTAAAGTTTTACTGAAACAGAAGATATCTGTTCATTCATTCATTTAAAAATATTTACTAAATGATTACTAGCCAATTAGGCACTGTTTTGAAGCTGGAGATTTAAGAATACAACACAGTCCTGCCACTAAGGAATTCTCAGTCTGCCAAAGAAATCTCCCCAGAAAAAAAAACAAAAAACAATTAACCTTGGCAAAACAATTTTAGTATCCGATAAATTTAATTTAAAAATTAATTTTCAAGTTTCAAGAAATGCTGTAAATATTAGGTATTAGATATAAAAGTATTAAAATCATTTTCACATATACCTCTATATTTTTTCATTATTTGATTATATAGAGTAAAAATGGGATATCATTGATTTCCAGATATATAATACAACAAAACAAAATGGTGTATGCTACAAGGTCAAGTTCTTAAATATTTAACAGAAGCCCCAAAGAACAATATGTATAGGATAATCCTCTTTGTATGTCTAAAGACACATGGAACTTTCTGAAGGAATGTTAGCAGTAGGTTTGAGGTTAGGGTTGACAGGATGAGGGAGAGAACTTTTTCTCCTTATACCCTCCTTTACTCTTTAATTTCCTTTCAAATGAAGTTTCTAAAATGTTTTTTAAAAGAAAGTGATTAATATCCACAAGGACAAAAAGCAGTACACAAATAGAAGACTGGGGAGAGTTATATTTAAATTTATTTTTTTACTCTACAACCTAAGAAGGCTTTTGCCTAGACTAACCTGATCCACAACAATTAACTTCTACTTATATTTTTTCCAGGTAGAAAAGCTGAGGGGGAAGAATACAGAAACCCAAACGATGTGTATAGACGTGTTTGTGAGAAAAGAGGCAGGGATTACCACTTACTAACGGATTCTCCGAGCATCCTGCATACCAAGCGCTTCGGGCAAAGATAGCTAAGATCTTCCTTTTCCCTTATTAAAGACACCCAGAAACATAAAATTAACTAAAGAAATGTTTCTGGCTGCTCGTGAACTTGTTTTCTTTTCGGGCAACCAAGATGACAGGCTAGGTTTTCACGCTTTAAATGTCCATCATGGGAATTTTTAACTTAAGCAATTATAAAATAAAAATGTACTCATGTTAAAGATATCTTTATAAACCTGTCACTTTAATTTTTTCTCCTTACTTGTTAGTTTAATTAGGTAGCTATACAGTCACATAAAATTTCACTGAAAAAGTTATAAGCATTATTAGTTGGGCATGAAACAACTTATAACATTAGCCTTCTCACTTGTTCTCAGACTGAAAGGCTAAATGATAGTGAAATTTAATAAAACTTCTTGGGAAATTATACAGATAATTTTTACTTGGTAAAGAGCGTGCCTGCTTTGTAATGGGTTCTCATGCTTCAGTAAACCAGAAGCAATAATAGGAGTACACATTTTGTTATTTAGAACCTAATACTGGGAACAGGAGAGCTATCACATTGCTACAGTCCCATCAACAACTATGAAAAGGCAACAAGCCAATGCAAACAAATACGGTTTTCAAAAAAAACCTGATAATGCTTCTAAATATAAGAACTGATTTCAGGGAAGAGGGGGGACAGGGAGAGACTGCGTAAAGAATACAAATTACAGCTGGATAGAAGGAATAAATTCTAGTGGCTCTACAGCACTGTAGGGTGACTATAGTGAATAATAATTTATTATATATTTTCAATTATCTAGAAGAGAGAATTTTGAATGTTCCTAACACAAACAAGTAATAAATGTTTGAGGTGATGAATGTGCTAATTACTCCGACTTGATCACCATACATTGTATGTACCAAAACATCACTATGTACCCCATAAAGATGTGTAATTATTATGTGACAATTTTTAAAAATTAAAAAAAATAAAAATAAAATGATTTCACTCTAGATGCATAGTAATTTCTGGGTGTCTGTTTAACAGAATATAAAGAAAAAATATTGAATATCCGACTGATTCCAAGTAAAAAATAATACAGATTCTACAAATTTAGTCTATGTGATTAGAAGTAACTTCCAGAAACAACCATCAGTTTACTACTTACTCCTTCGTGTTCATACGGAAGCTTCCTAATACTTAAGTTCAAAATATGCTTGATAAGTCCTACTAACGAAAATGGTAAAACTGGAACACTATTTCAGTTCTACATGTTGAATTAAAAACCCCCACAAATTTAAAATAAAATTTAAAAATTAAGGCTGGATTTACATTTCTTTGTTTACAACTTCTGACATTCATAATAGAAACCATATGTAAAATTTTTCACAGGCTCTACAGTGTATATACCGAATATACACACAACTTTTTGTTGTTGGTGTTAAAGTCTGACGTTCTCTTTTCAATTAGCGTACTTACTAACCTCTTCTGGGACTCTCATGATTGAAGAGAATGCCATTCACTGCGAAGAGATTATATGCCTCACGGAAGTTTACCACAATCCAATAGGCATAGAGTTTTGCTGCCCCTGTTGGAATAATTTTTAAAAAGCAATGGAGTTTACTATAAAAGACAGTGATTTTTCACTCATCTTAAACAATAACAACTCACCAAAATCATATTTGCAATGTATCAAAATAGAAAAAAACACATCAAAAGCAAAAGACAAAATAAAGGTTCCCACGCCAGTTAATCCTGTTCGCCAGAAAAATATCTAAGAATTTCTTACTTTTGTCATGCCCATAGTGCATTCTTTCGCAGTCTAACTGCTTCAGCTATAATGTGCACTGTATCAAGCTGACCTTTCTTAGGTCTTTTTCCCTTTTTTAAGAATTAGAAAGTAAAAAGTTGGGGAGCTTAACAGTCAAACTGCTTTGAAATTTTATCGCTGAAGTCTTCCATGAACATATTCTTTACACATACATCACCCGTTACAGTCTTTGTTTTTTTTTTTTTAAAGGTTTGTGCTCAGGGAAATAAAAAACATGAAACCTTATCACTTCAACACAACCTCACAATAGTTCAGGGAAAGAATCATGTTGAGTCTAATTTTCCTTTTAAAGCGATCTGTATGGAAGGGTGAATGAACACGGGTTGGTGAAGCGAGGTGGTGATTTCACCCGGAGGCAATGGCTGCACACACTCGCAGTTAGCAAGGTATAAAGGACGCTTCTCAACAAGTCTAGCCACTTTAGCCTATCTTAATGTTCATCTCACGCCCAAATGACTTCAGCTGCGAGACAGAACGAAAGAAGAAACACAGACACCCCCAACGCCCACAAAGAACGCTGGGCACCGCATTCTCACCATAGGGTGACCGGGGGTAGAAAGGGGTGGTCTCCTTCTGGGGTATTTCTTGCACTTTGCCATAAAGTTCACTTGTCGACGCTTGGTAGAACTTCACAGAGTTGATAAGGCCACAGGTCTTAACTGCGTCGAGGAGCCGTAAGGTGCCAACGCCGTCGACATCCGCCGTGTACTCAGCTAAGTCAAAGGAAATCTGGAAAGAGCGGGCGGACACGGGGCTGCGTGAATGGGACAGCACCACGCAGGTGCTGGCAGGGCGGCAAGACTGGGCTACGCTGGTGAGTAAATACCATCATTTTCTAACAGCACGACAGGAGTGTGGATGTCATCTATTTCTATGTCAGACGGCTAGAAAACATCTTAACACCTATTAATTACCTATGGTAACATGAAGGACACTTTAGCCACACTTCTGTTACCTACTAATTCCGGACTGGAGTCCCCAGGACACAGTTTATCGCAGGGCAAACCCCTGGTCCTCAGAATCATCTGAGCTGTTCCTTAAAATTTCAGTTTGAACCAATCTCTCGAGGCTGGCACCTCATTTTTAATGAGCCCCAGTTGATTTTTATATACAGAAGATTGAGAACATGTGCATTAGAACACAGTTGATTTTTAAAAGGATTCTTCCGTTTTCTACTTTTACATTAAGATACAGGGGACCAGCCTGAGCAAGAGCGAGACCCCGTCTCTACTAAAAATAGAAAGAAATTACTTGGATAACTAAAACTCTATACAGAAAAAATTAGCTGGGCATGGTGGCACATGCCTGTAGTCCCAGCTACTTGGGAGGCTGAGGCAGGAGGATCTCTTGAGCCAGGAGTTTGAGGTTGCTATGAGCTAGGCTGATGCCATGGCACTCTAGCCTGGGCAACAGAGTAAGACTCTGTCTCGGAAAAAAAAAAAAAAAGATACAGAAATAACTTTGTAGTATATTATACCACATGTCATCTTTTTGTATTATGAGGTACAGTGCATACAGCAAGATATTAATGTGTGTGTATGTAAAATGACTAACTTCTAAGTGGATGTTGAGGAATAAATCAATGTTTTATAGTTCTATAAAGTACTTTTAAGAAATAAATGTGACTGATATGCTTTCTTCTTAAATTATACCTATGTATATATAATGAACAAATTAACCTAGTATTAGATTCCCTAAAATAACGAAGCTGAAAATTTTTGTCACTGGTTTACACACAGGCTAAATACAGCCAGGCACAACGCAAACACGCTTCCCCTGCGGCACTGTGAATCATCTCAGACCTCACCTGGAAAAACCCCTCTTTGGGTGAGCGTGGCTACCAGCCTTCATCACCGCACGGTCCCGAGGGTCCCCTGAGCAGAGGCTGCGTCTTTGTACATGCCCATGGCATTCCGGCAGCTGCTCACCAGGGACCCCACTGAGACCACTAAAGTCATGTCATCTAGGCTTGTGAATAAAGCTCATGTGGCAGCCAAGAAAGAAAGGAAAGAGAAAAGGAAAGAAAAGGAAAAGGAAAATAGATGTCACTTTTCTAATCTTTCAAAGCCAAGGCAAATTTGGGACCATTTCAGTCTTTTTTATAACGGTTTAGTGGGATATAATCTACATATCATAAAATTCGTCCTTTTAAAGTGTGCAATTCGGTGGTTTTAGTATATTCACAGCATCATGCAATCATCACCAGCATCTCATCCCAGAGCACTTTCACCACCCCAAGAAGAACTGTGCACATCTGCAGCCACTCCTCAGTCTCCAACTCCCACTCTGACCCTGACAGCCACTAGTCCTACGCATTCGCCTGCTGTGGACCCTGCATACAAATAAGAATCGTACAGTATGTGGCCTTTCATGACAAGCTTCTTCCACTTACCATGCTTTCATTTCTGTTGAGGATATACCTAGGACTGGACTTGCTGCGTCACATGGTAACCCTACGTTTAACATTTTGAGGAACTGCCAGAATGTTTTCCAGAGTGGCTGCACCATTTTACATTCTCAACAGCAATGAATAAGGGTTCCAATTGCTCCACATCCTACCCAACACTTGTTGAGGTCTGTCTTTTGATTGCAGCCATCCTAGTGGTGTGAAGGGGTATCTCGTTGTGGTTTTGATTTGCATTTTCCAGATGAGTAATGTTGGGCATCTTTTCATGTGCTTATTGGACATATTATTTCTTCTTTGTACAAAATATGTATTTGAATCCTTTACCCACTTTTAAATTGGGTCATCTGTCATTTCGTTGAGTTGTGTAAGTTTTTTATATATTTCAGACATAAGTCCATTATCAGATATATAACTTGCAATTTTTCTACCCATTTATGATGATTGTAATTTTATTTATTTATTTATTTTTTTAAGAGACAGGGTCTCACTATGTTGTCCAGATTGGAGTGCAGTGGCTATTCACAGGCACAATCATAGCAAACTGCAGCTTCAAACTCCTGGACTCTTAAGCGATCCTCCTGCCTCAGCCTCCAGAGTAGCTAGGAATACAGGCTTGCACCACACCTAATGTCTTTTCACTGATATCTTTTCACTTTCTTACTGGTATCTTATGAATCACAAAAGCCTAATTTATCTACTTTTGTCACTTGTGTTTGGTGTTATATTTAATGCTTTGCTTAACCCAAGATCATTAAGATTTAATCCTATGTTTTATTCTAAGAGTTGCATAGTTTTATCTCTTGCATTCGGTTCTCTCATTCCTTTTGAGTTAAATTTTGTGAATATTTAGGGGACCAGCTGCATTGTCTGCAAATGGATACCCAGTTGTCCTGGTACCATTTGTCGAAAGGGCCAGTTTTCCTTTGTTGCATGGCCTTGGCGCTGGGGAAGTTTGTTCTCAGGAAAAGCTGTGCCCCATCTTGAGGGAACAGCAGACTGAGAAGGCCTTGGGAGAGGGAATGTGAGGGCTCTGGGACCACCTGGGGGTGTCCCTTGAGCAGACCACTCAGCTGCTTCCTCTGGCCATAGTTTCCTCACCATAATAGTGCCACAACTATATATTTATATGATACATTATAATTCAAAAGTGCTTTAGTTCGAGCTTTGCAACAATTCTAGGAGAGAGAGAAACCAGGTAGGTCCTGAGGCTCAGAGAAATGGAGTTGCTAGAAGTCACACTATGCAGGAGGAGCAGAACCAGGACTCAGAGCAGGTCTTTGCTCCTGAATGGTGCTCAC